TTTACATTGAGAAATATGTTTTTTCATGTATTGGTAATGAAGCTATCATGGAACATATTCAGACTATGAAACCTCGTCGTGGACGCTTTAATTAGGATTTTATAGCTTGTAATGTTGTTTTGCATATGATTTTTGAATGAAATGTATTATATTTAACTTTTCGACGTTATTTTTGTCTATAAATTTTTTGACCTTTATTATTGGGACCCTCCGAGTTTAAAATTCTAGATCCGTCACTGATCTAGACGAAGGGTTTTCTGAAAGCTAGGGTTTAGTGAGAACTGGAAAGAGAAGAAACTGGAAGGTACGGATTGGAGAGAAGAGAAAGGGAAAAAGCTAGGTTTTTTTTTTTAAACCAGGCTTAAGTTGGACGTGAAGATATATTGGAGACAAGAAATTGGAAAGCAAGAACTGAGAGATTGAAGGTCTAGCAGCGTTGATATATAATCAATAAAAGCGGCAAGGGTTTCCAAATCCTAGTCTGCAAGGGTTTCCAAGTTGGTTAAAAAACATCATAAGAGTCGGAATAAAATGATAAATAAAAAACAATATTATTATTTATAGGATTCTTGATAAATAGTTTATTTGGAGACAAATGATTCACAATCATTCACCTTTGGATTTGATATTAAAGGTTGAGATTAAAACGCTAAAAACGCATCCAAAGTCAAAAATGGATGACCATGCATGTCTTTGTCACTAGGTAAAGAATCTGGATGAGACCATGAACTCTCGCTATAGTGGGAGGGTTTATATCTTAGCTAGATTTTCTAGTGGGCGTAGAATTCAATTTTGTGGAGGAGTTTGAGGTACTCGTCTGAATACTTTTAGTGACGATTGAGTTTCTTTGACTATACTGTATCAGAACGTGTTGACAATGTGTGTGGTGACCGCAACCTCATCTGCACTGCACCTTCAACCAGAGGCGGCGGAGGAACAAGCGGCAACCACCGCTTACGTATTCAGCTTGGTGCTTTGAGTTTGAGCTTATGTGATGGGTTAATCATTTGTGTGTCTGTGTTAAAAATGAAGGATAATGCTAAGGAGACTAAAAGTTTAAATTAAATTTGCAAATAAATAACGTGGTTGTTGATGATTTGTTTATTACTCAAGCATTGATTAACATGCTTATTTTATATTTATGACACATTATTTGATTTGCAAATTTAATTTAAAATTTTGATATCTCCAACATTGTCCGTGTTAAAACACTTCTTCGGAGTGCACCATAGTTTAGTTTACATGATGTATGTAGTCCAAAAAAATCATAATCTATGGAAGAAAACGAAAAATAAAAAGATAATATTGATTATAGACCATAACTTTGGAATATACTCCGCGTTTATACACGAGCCTTGGCGTATGGCCGATTGACGATTGGGTTCCAAATTTGGACAAGTCCATACACAAAATGGAACAAAAGCAGTTTTATTTTAAGATTTTTTTTTCGAATTAGAAAGTAGAGAGAGAGTAGGGCCCCCTAAACAAAAATTAAATTTATAATTAACCATAATTGAGCAAGAATTGCAATTAGATATATAAAATACTGTTACTACTAGCGGTGAGAGCTTGCGTGCATTAAAAACATGAACAAATGCTAAAATCCAATTACAGGATCCTAATGAGTATATCCTAATGAGGTCACTAATTACATAAGCAGAGTGGGAGTTACGATATCAAATATCTCCTCTAAAATAGATATTATTAAACTTAAGTAGACGCTAAAGTTTATCTCATAGCTTTGAATAATTGCATTCTCAGTATGCATGCATTACGACTATTAAGTTTTGAATCTTACAATATGCAAATCGAAAACACAAAATCTACACAACAGAAAAAATGACAGTGGTGAGGCCCACTTCACTTCTTTCTATGTATTGTTTTACACTTTCATTTCGAACAAACACTTTACATTTGTCGTATTCTACGAATGTATTATGTCTCACATATTTTGAAGCGCACAATACCTAAACATAAATATACAGTTAACTCAAAAGGAAAGATGTTTATCTTCTTAATATCTTATTCTTATCACTAATTGAAGAATGTATATAACATGGAGTGAAGTGAAGTCCACTTGAACAAGGCAATGCCATTTTGGTCACAAAGAGTCATAAAACACCACGATCATCACCACAATCCTAACCGTTAGATATCCAACTCATCAAAAAGCCGATCTTCAGAACAATGTCCTTAAGGTAAAAGCTCTGTTCATTTCTCTCCTCCAAGACTATAAGTTACTCATTTTACATAAGTATAAAATGGTTTTTTCAACTCCTTCTGCAGGAAGCTTAATTCTCACCCGCCATGACTACTCATGGGAGATGCATGGACCGTATTCCTGGGAATATGCAGCCTTTCTCACTTCCTGGCTCCGTTCTTCCAAGTTCGATCTGGCCTATTACAGGTACGCAATTTACAACAAAAATAAAGAAATTACAATGGCATGGAATTAGTTGCTAAGTGTTTGCTGTACATTCATTTTGGTATTGTCTGATTGCGTTTATTGACTATTGGATTTCGTTAACTATTCTATCAGGACGTGTTGACAATGTGTATGGTGACCGTAACCTCATCTGCACCCTTCAGCCGGAGGCGGTGGAGGAACAAGCAGCAGCCACTGCTTAGTCTCTTCGGCTCAGTGCTTTGAACTCAACACACAGTCATTGTTCCCTCGAATTTTAAAAAGCACATTGCGAGAGCGCATGATCAATCCATCTAATAATGACATTCGGTCTCCACTTTGTTGGATGTCTTATGTTGAATTCACACGAATGTGAATACGATAAATATTTCTACTAAGTTTAATACTAAAACATGGCTCATTGTGACTTGTTGTGGTTGTTTAATGTCCGGTTATAAAAATACATCGTTAAACTTTAAAAGAATCTCACTTTTTGTCCTCAGAAAATTAAAGAACTTCAAATTGTTGATGGCAACGTAAGTATTTTATACGTGAATCAACAACTTACAAACCTCGAATACAAAAATTAATTCAAAGTACAAAAGAAAGAACAAGTAATCAAATATTAATCAAACAAGGCAGTGCGTGCATGCAATCTACTACTTTTTGAAGATCTTGAGCAACTGATCGAAGGTGTTGCTCGTACATGCAAGCTCAATTGGCCCTTCAATCTTTGCATCGAACACATCCGGCTTCGACTTCTTGATGAGTTGTTGGGGAGTTGGATTCAAGAGATACTTCAAAGGAAGTTGATATAGCTTTCGTTCTTGTCCAACGTACACAATGATATAACCTTTCTGGGGGCGCTGGGACTTGCTTAAAGCTGTGTAACTTCTCTTGGAGCACTGGGACTTGCTCAACTTCTTGATGACCGTACTCGTCTTTTCTTGAAGAATGTTTGCAAGATTCATTGTTTCTACTTCTCCTCGACGGCTAAACGAAGGGTTTTCTGAAAGCTAGGGTTTTTTTTTAAGCTCGAGCAAATTGGACGTGAAGATCGCAAGAGAAGAGATTGGAAGGTAAGAATTGAGAGACTGACGGTCTAGATCTAGCAGTGTCTATATATAATCAATAAAAGCGGCAAGGGTTTCCAAATCCTACTCTGCAAGGGTTTCCTAATTGGTCCAAAAAATCATATAACAAAATGATAATTAAAAACAATATAATTGGAGGAGTCTTGATCTCTTAATTACTTGGAAACCAATGAATCACAATTATTCACCTTTGAATTTGATATTAAGGTTGAGATTAAAATGCTAAAAACACATCCAAATTCAAGGGTGGATGACCATGCATTTCTTGATCACTAGGTAAAGAAACTGGATGATCAAGTAAAATAAAAAGATATTTGGAAAAAAAAAAAAAGGAAAAAAAAAATAGAATATGATTATAGACCACAACTTTGGAATAGACTCCGAATTTATACACGAGCCTTGGCGTATGGCGAATTGACGATTGGGTTCCAAATTTGAATCGCCAGCCCATACATAAAAGGGAATAAAACTTCTTATTCCAAGACTTTATTTCAAAATTTTGTATTAGAGAGAGAGAGAGAGAGAGAGAGAGTAGGGCCCTCTAAACAAAAATTAAATGAATAATTAACCATTGATTAAGACATAATAAGAAATGTAAATAGATAAAATACTATTACCATTAGGTACTAGGCTCTACGGCAAATTTGAACCACATTATTGCTAGTATATTGTGAGGCTTAGCCTATTCTACCACCCTTTGGGGTAAAAAAATATAGTTTGTTCAAAAAAAAAAAAAAAAAAAAAAAGAGTAGCATAAAATGATTGTATTCTCAATATGTAAGCGGTACGACTATCAAGTTTTAAATTTAACTATATATAAATCTTAAATATAAAATCTACACGATATGAAAAAGGATAGCGGCAAGTCTCACTTCACTTCTTTCTATGTTTTGTTTTACACTTCCATTTCAAACAAACATTTTACAATCGTCATATTCTCAGTACGCATCTATTATATCTGTCAAATCCTAAAGCGCACAATCTCTAAATCATAAATACAAAATCAATTCAAAAGGAAAGATGTTTACCTTCTTACTATCTTATCACTAATTGAACAATGTATATAAGATGGAGTGAAGTCCACTTAGCAAATGCCATTTTGGTCGCAAAGAGCCATAAACACACCATTATCATCATCACAATCACAACCGTTCGTATCCAAGATACACATCCAAATCTCATCGCACACAATCAACGGTCATGATCAAGTGAAATCAACGGTCAGGATCGAGTGAAGAGTTCTTGCACTTGAGTTGGGGATGGGGAAAATATAAAAAACAAAAAAATAGTACAAAATAAAATAACAAAATAGGTAGAAAAAAGGTCGAATTGGCCTCAATCCTCATGGAGTTTCATTTTATTAGGCGTGTTGGAGGGAATGCGGTTAATTTTTGAGTCTCTCTCTCTAAGCGGTGGTAGCTTGACGAAGAAGGGTGCGCAGGTTAAGCGAATCTGCTTTGTTTTCTAGTGGGCGCAGCTTAATCCTGTCGACAGGGAGGAGAAAGACAGAGACTTTGAGAGAGAGAGAGAGAGAGAGAGAGGAGGATTTCGTAATTTCCATTGATGATCCATGTCGAAGATGAAGCACCTACTAAGAAAGCTTCACATCGGCGGTGGACTCAATGAGCACCAGAGATTGGCGGAGGCCCGACCCTTGACGAGTCCGAGCGCGAATCTGAATCTGCCAGCTTCTTCTCCGGCGTCGTCCACAGGCTCCGCTACAATGGGGAGAATCACCGCCGTGGAATCGGTGAGTGATCGGACGGCTGGTGGGGAGAGTGGTGGTAGTGGTAGCGGCGGGGGCGTGGGCGTGGATTTCAATTTCTTGGAGGAGGAGTTTCAGGTCCAGTTGGCCCTAGCGATCAGCGCTTCCGATCCCGATTCGCGCGATGACCCCGAGACGGCTCAGATCGACGCCGCCAAGCGGATTAGCCTCGGCTGCTCGGCGTCTACTGTCACCGACACTCAAGCTCCCTTCGAGATGCTCTCGCTTCGCTACTGGGTACGTTTTTCTCACAGAAATTTTTCTAGGGTTCTTAATTTTCTCGTTTTTAACGACTTAGTCTGTGCGAATTGGAGTGGATTAGGTTCGCTGTGAACTTAGGATCTTAATTTCTATGCTTCTATGGTTTGTCATTTTCTTTTGGGATCATTTTCTAACGAGGGGAGATGGTACTAGTGTTTGATAGCTTGAATTATGGAATGCTTTGTATTCCTTATGGTGACATTTTCATAACAATTTCGTGTTGAATCATTCACGCTAGTCATGTTAGGTGGGCGCTTCTTGGTAGCTTCGGTACCTAATAATGTCCGTAAGATTGGTGCATTCGGTTAAAGGATAACAGTTGGGTTCATATTGAAATCTTTATGTTGCATATTGTTGTTTAGTATTGTCAATTGTGATGATTTTTCGGTTTTTACTAATTGTATATCTATAACTCGCAGAGCCAGAATGTTGTAGATTATAATGAAAAGGTGGTCGATGGATTTTATGACGTGTATGGAATGACCACAAACTTGCTTAGACAAGGGAAGATGCCATTGTTGGTGGATCTTAAAGCTGTATCTGTCTCGGAGAATGTTGATTATGACGTTATATTAGTGAACCGTTTGGTTGATCCTGATCTGCAACAACTTGAGAAAAGAGCATCTGCTCTCTTTTTAGAGTCACGGACTTCTCAACATGGTGTCCTTTTAAGCGGTTTGATTCAGAAAATTGCTGACATTGTTGTTGATAGAATGGGTGGTCCAGTTGCCGATGCTGATGAAATTTTGAGAAGGTGGAAAGTGAGGAGGTATGAGTTACGGAGTTCGATGAAAACTATCATTCTTCCCCTTGGACTTATTGATGTTGGACTTTCACGCCACAGGGCCCTGCTCTTTAAGGTTGTGATGGTTTTCTTAACTTACTTTTTTCATTGTGCACCATGTAACTTACTAGCATCTTCACTGGTTTTTCTCAAAATCCAACTCTCATCCTATTTTTTTTCTTTTGGAAAAAAGTTGATGACATTATGGAATAAATTTGTGAAGTTTTGTTGTCCTTTTGGGAATTTTTCTGTGGCTAATGTTTCGTATTTCTGGTTCTAGGTACTGGCTGATAAGATAAACCTTCCATGTATGCTGGTCAAAGGTAGCTACTACACTGGTACAGATGATGGAGCTGTAAATTTGATTAAAATTGATAGTGGAAGGTAGTGGCCTCCAGCTCAAAGTTTCTCCTTTTTTTTTTTTTTTTTTTTTTTTTTTTGCATAATTTTCTGATAACTTTGGTGCATGTAAATTTTGTGATGTAGTCCCCCCTTTTTTTTTTTTTTTTTGAGAAGAAACGATAACACTTAATTAAAATAATAACATGAATTACAAAATAGTGGATAAGAAATCCACCATCCAGCAAAACTAGCTAAGACCTCTCAAGAAGATCTATTTACAAGTACATAACCTCAACCAAAATATTTTACGGCTGCTAACATATCCCACACTATATGAGAAAGAGAATAACCCCTAAATTCATTTGAAACTGATGCCCAGAGGGCTGCCCAGTATCTTATTCTACCCCATAGTTCTGCTACCCCGACTCCATTATAATCCTCAAAAACTCTTCTATTACGTTCCAACCAAATGTTCCAAAAAACTGCCAACACCAAACAGCCCCACAAAGCTTTAGCTTTCCTCCCCTTTCCTAAAGCCTCAAACTTGGTGCTTAGAAGCTCAAAACAACCATTTGGAATGACCCAACTAGCTCTAACTTCCTGAAACAATTTCCAACACAACTGTATTGAGGAGGAACTGTATTGATGTAGTCCCCTTTAGATGACATTTTATGTGCCTTATGCTTGTCACTGAATTGTTAGTTTTACATAATGTCATGCTTGGTCAAGTGGGATTGCAAATAACAGTGGTGAAGTCCCGGGGGGTGTTTATGAGGGGTTCAGATTATCAGGTGTGGTGGGCGGTGCCATGGGTAAGGGGAGTACCAAAGGTGAGAGCTGCAAGCTCAATCTATAGCTACTATGATTTGTTTAGCACAGCTCTTATTCTGATAATGGAAATCTGGATGCTTAATAGGCAGATTACCTGTGTCCAATATTGTAGGAGATACTCTTTTATCGTTCAAAATTTATTAACACCAAGAGGCCCAGACCTATATACTAGTATCTAGGTTGTTTTTTTATGTGACTTGCTTGGCATGTGAATCAAACACGTGTTAGCAGTGTCCTTGTGTCTGAATGGTTTTTCTGGGGCTGCCCAATGCCCAATGTGTTTGTCCACAAACTGTAGGTGCTTGGTTGTTCCCTTAAGACACAGGAACCCAATTATAGTATGACAAATATAGTTCAACATACACCAATTTTTCTCTGCTTTTTGAACAGCTCTTGAAACTGCTGATGTTATTTCTGCAAGACATGTTGCTTAATGAAGTTTCTTGGAGTCTTGGATTAAGAGTAATTATGTTTTTTTTTTTTTTGGTCCCCGTTGAAAAGTTAAATTCATATGTCATTGCAATATCTCTGCAGTTCTTTTCATTTCGGATGTACCTCTACTTTTAAGCTGTTGGATTTGAATTTACTATCATGTTTAAGTAATGGATGTTAGAATTAGAGGTGCATGCTCTTGTTTGCTGCTTTGCTTCTACAATCCCATGCACATTTTTCATCTTGCTAAGGTGAATTAGTGCAGGCCGTAAGATGTCCTGGATTTATGATGATTAATGGGTTTGTTACTCGGTGCAGTGAGTATATTATTGATTTGATGGGTGCACCTGGAACACTAATTCCTGCCGAGGTGCCTACTAGTCAGCTCCCGAATTCTTTCTTTGCCATAAGGAGCTTTCAAGATGCCACCGAACTGCCCAAAGATGTGTGTTTGGCCCAAGCTGAGGGCAGTGGAATGTTAGCAGTTCCTTCTGATCTTGACATAGTTTCTAGAGCTGGCAGCTCACGGTCAGAAGAAGCATCATATGCAGGCATTCAAACAAAAGATGATAGAAGAATTGTTGTTGACGAAAACCAAATGGAGAGTTCTAGCAGTGATATGGGGACTCCCCTTAGATCACTTCGTAAATCATGTGAAAGTTCATCGGGTACAACTGAAAAAGCCACATCTGCACAGAAAAGGAAAGTGAAAAATGTATCAAAGTATGTCATCAGTGCAGCAAAGAACCCAGAGTTTGCACAAAAACTACATGCTGTCTTGTTGGAAAGTGGTGCATCACCTCCTGCAGATTTATTTTCGGATATGAATCCTCAATATCTGCATGAAGACAAGTTGCTTGGTCAAATGAATGCAGATGGGAAACTTGTAGATGATGGGATTCATAATTATTTGGTCCAATTATTATCAGGCAATGAGCTGTCCACTCAAACTGCTGCTGAAGTGAGCTATGCCAATTTTGATAACTTGCTGAAACAATCTTCCTTGGATTTAGCTGAGCAACGAAATGAATCAGAGACAAACAAGTTTTCTCTTCTCTTAGATACTGTTGAGGAGGGATTTGTAATCGTGTCTGGTGGAACTAGTGAAACAACCCAGATTTGTAATCCTGTTCTTGATAATCCCCCAATGAACTCCGAAGCTTTTAACGAGTATAAAGAATCAGTGAGTAAGCCAATGGACAGATGCAATAGTGGCCTGTGTACCAGTTGTGATAGTCACTATGAGAGGTATCCCGCACTAGGGGAAGTTGCAGAGTGGGAAATTCTATGGGAGGATCTTCAGATTGGTGAACGCATTGGCATTGGTAAGCACAGGTTCAGAATTTTGTTGCTTAAATTTGGAATACTTTGTAAAAACAGGTTCAATATAATTTCTGGTTTTGTAGGTTCCTATGGCGAGGTATATCATGCAGATTGGAATGGCACTGTAAGTGTTATTCATCTTATACTTTCCCATATTGTCTTTGTATCTCTAGCTCTCAAAGTGTTTGTATGATTCTCAAACATTGATATTTTGTCAATAATCGTTGAGATGTCTGTACTTTGAACTGTGATACTTTTCTAAACGTTAATGCTTAATATGTTGGTTGCTCATGGCATGAGACTTGTTGTTATTATAATTCTGGAATATGGCTGCTATTGGGTTCTATTATTTACAAATTGTTTATTGGTCTGTGTTGACATTTTGCATGACAGGAAGTAGCTGTGAAAAAGTTTTTAGATCAAGATTTTTCTGGTGATGCATTAGTTCAGTTTAAATGTGAAGTAAGCTCCAATTCTAATTTTATGAATGTATTATGAGCCTAAAGTTCAAATTCATTGGTTTTTTTATTAATTGATTCTTGGTGTTTGTTCATGCAGGTAGAAATTATGTTGAGACTCAGACATCCCAATGTTGTCCTTTTTATGGGGGCAGTTACTCGCCCTCCACATTTCTCTATCCTGACAGAGTTTCTTCCCAGGTTAATTTCGCAATCACTTTTTATTTATTTATCAAATTTTATATAATTCTGAAAATTGAATGATGAACACGATGTAATTTAACATCATACGAAGTAAAAAATACATTATGTGTATGCATGATGCAAACCTAACTAGGCAACAAATAGGCCTTTCAAATAACAAATTCGTATATAGAGCTAGGAAATTTTTTCCAACAAACTAGACATCTACATTCTGCAATGCTGTTCCATTATCTGTTTCATCTCATTCTCGTCTTGTTACTTAAAACATTCACTTGGTATACAGGGGGAGTTTATATAGATTGCTGCATCGTCCCAATTCTCAACTTGATGAAAGGAGGCGAATGCGAATGGCTCTTGATGTGGTAAAAACATTTTTGTTTCTTAGTTTGGTAGTTTTTCATTTCTGCTTTCCTTTTGATTCTTAATCAGAGCTCCGTGAAGTTATTCAGGCCAAGGGAATGAATTACCTGCACACTAGCAATCCTACTGTTGTGCATCGAGACCTAAAGTCTCCAAACCTCCTTGTTGATAAGAATTGGAATGTGAAGGTCAACTCAAACCAAAACTTACATTCTTAAGTTTTTGTTAAAAAATTGATTTCCATTTTCTCAAATATGTTGTTTATATTGTGCAGGTTTGTGACTTTGGGTTGTCACGCACGAAGCACCATACTTTTCTGTCTTCCAAGTCTACTGCTGGAACGGTAATATTTGTTAAACATGAATGTTCATATAATATCTGATTACCCTCTCGTATCATCATAGATTCTAAGTACCCGTTTGCTTTATGTACTCATTGTATACTATTTGATTGCAGCCCGAATGGATGGCTCCGGAAGTTTTAAGGAATGAACCAGCTAATGAGAAGTAAGTTGCTGAAAGGTGGATGTATTTTGAAAATTATACACTTTGGAGGTTTACATAAGCTTTGCATGTTGCCTGCTTTCAGGTGTGATGTGTACAGCTTCGGTGTTATCTTATGGGAACTGGCTACTTGCTGCGTCCCATGGAAAGGATTGAACCCAATGCAGGTTGTTGGAGCTGTTGGATTCCAAAACAGGCGTCTTGAAATTCCAGAGGACATCGATCCAGTGGTTGCCGAGATAATACATGATTGTTGGCAAACGTAAGTTATAGACTCCCATTGTTTTATACTATAACTGGGTTTGGCTAGTCCTACAACTTTGAGTCCTTTTAATTACTACTGGTATGTTTATTTTTCAGAGAGCCAAACTTACGGCCATCTTTCTCGCAACTCATGGTTCGCCTCCGACGCCTTCAACGTTTTGTTGGAAGAACAAACTCTACAAATCAAATGACTGAATAACCCAAAAAACAAAAGAAAAAGTTGACCACCGTGTTAATAATGGGAAGTTGTACCTTGTCTCGAAGAGTCAGGGCGCAGCAGCAGCGCAAGTTTTTCTCGATGCTGGATTCGGAAGTGTTGGCTCAGTCAAAGTGGGAGCTCAGCACAACCTGTATACCGAACAGAGTGGGAAATCCTCCTTGATTTTATACTGCATAAGGGGCAGTCGGGAGGTTCCCATTTCTGTTGAAGATGTTCGATCAGTCTCTAGCAGTAGTAATTAGTAGGTTGTATCAATCAATCTACACGTAAGAAAAAATTGTAGAAAAAAAAAAAAAAGGAAAAAGGGGGAAGAAAAGACTAATAAGTCTTAATTGTGTTAGGGTGGAGGTCTCATTTGAGAAATTGTAAACATATGATCTCTGCATATGCTATTGTGACAAGAAAAAAAAGAGAGTAAATACATTTGGAGGAAGAAGAAGAAAGAAGAAATAATTTCTTGCTTATTTACGATTGTGCATTTACTTGCTTATTTACAAGTTCACGCTGCATTTTGATGTCAATTTGTTACTAAGATGGTGCTATTTCTGTAAGGAGTGAAATATTTTCATACAAAAGTAGTCCGAAGAGTTCATGACCATCTTACTGAGTCCTAATGAGCCCATATATGGGCACCATATGGGATTGGACCGCAGGAGGGGTTAGAACTACAAAGTAGTGTATTTGCGCGATCAAACGGCCATGTGGTTTAGTTGTCCGCACCCAAGAATGCCTAAACCCTCAACTTGTTACTTCTCACTTTGAAAACGTTTGGTATAAACTTGCCACAAGTTTTCACGGGAATGCTTCTCCTCTGTCGTCTCTGTCGTCGGTGCCTACCTCAATGTCGATGGTTACAAATTTACAATCCCTCCAATAAAGCATTGCTCTGCTTGCCTGCCTCAGTGCTCGCATATCTCAATAGTCAATACTGTACGGCCGATGATGTTGGTGTTTGAATTGTTGCATCATGAAAAAGTGAAGTGCCATACATTGTCTTCCAAAAGCTAATCAAGGGTGGGGCTTGGATTGTGTCATTATATAATATCATAATAGGGCCTGTCCTGAGAAGAGACGAGTGAGGCAGTCGCCTAGGCCCCAGTTCTAAGGAAGCATGAAGATACATACTACTAAATGAAGAGTTTGATTACATTCTTAACTTGTACATCTTAACCCTTAATTTGCTTTTGTGATCATCATTTGTCCAATTACGAAATATCTTATACCAATTTTAAAATCAAAGCTGATACGATAATTTCTTTTTTTTTGAGAAGAAAAAAAAAATACAAATAAATAAGATTAACCTTAGTCACAAAATTAGTGTAATAAGTCACGATACTATGACAACAGTAAAAAATCATCATCCATGTTTACTATTTCATATCCCCAAGACTTTTTCACATAAAACTTTGTCACCGAAGTCCACTTTAGTGACATGTTGATTTACTTCTTCGTTCATTCATACATGTGACATTTACACTTAGAACACAACATCCCTTATAACTAGTTTTGGCGGGTATGATTAATGAAGAAGTAGGTTACAAACTTTCAGTTACAACAAACCAACCCCAACCTTTCTGTCAAGGAACGGAAAGAGAGAAGAAAAACTATTAAATGAGCACGTGAATGGGGCCCACCGAGGGGCATGAATCCCAGAGAGGTTCATATGCCGAGGTGGATTGTCTACCCTCTCATTTCCATACTTTCTCATATTTTTCTATTTGTGTAATCACGGTTAAGACACGTCAATATTTTATATTTTTATTGTTTTTTATTTTATTATTTTTATAAAAAATTAATATAAAATATTAACATGGGTTAACCGTAATCACACATTATAGGAGAGCATGAAAAGAGTACGGAAATAGAACGAGAGCCAATCCACCTCCTTCGTATGCACCTGCCCCTTGCCTCCTCCTCCTTCCTTCGTTTTCTAAACAAGAAAAACAACGTCCATAAAGCCAAAAATAAAAAACTTTAATTAATTAAAAATGATTAAAATTTCATCTATTTATTCATCTTATTCTTTCAATAAAAAACTTTAATTAATTAAAAATGATTAAATTTCATCTATTTATTCATCTTATTCTTTCTTATCAGAACTTCAACCTTTTCATGTCACCGACTTCAGTTTCTGCCCAGCTATCGAAATCGTCTGCAGGTCAGTTGGCATAAAAATCTTTGCTTAAAGCTCCAATCTTTGTCGACCCAGATGCATTTTCTGTGTTTGGATATTGTTTTCTTTCATTATTTCAATAAATTGATGGGAAACCCAATTGTATATTTGTCTGTTTGCAATTATAATCATTGGGAAGTCTATAAAGACTGAATTTTTAAGCCACCATTTCCTGCTATTAAGCACGACTGTATTGCTCTCATTTTCTTTTTCCCAGCTTAAAGTTGCATTCTTGGAAGCTGATGTTTTCATTTTTGAGCTAAATTTAAGAGCTTTTTGGGCTGCAATTTAATTTCCAGGAAGTAGAAGATCAAAACTATTGGCAGACATGAGTTAAGCCAGTTGACGCCTGCCACCCGCACCCAAATTAGAATTCACCTTTCCTCGTAAATTAGAGTAGTTTGGAATAAAATATCGTATTATTGTCGAAAAGAAAAAAATGATCAAACCTTTGAAGTTAACAATGTAAGCATATTTAGATTCTTAATATTTCCACATCCTCTTTGAATCTGTTGTACATGGTACTTTCCAGTTTTTAGTTTGTGTATCCCAGATTGGATAATCTTTCTGTTCTTCTTCTAAGGGCGCCTTTGTTTTCGTTTACTGGCAGATTGAACTGATATGGTAATTGTATTCGGAGACGCAATCAGTATTCTGAAGGTGTGACATTTGGGATGCTTTGATAAAGATTGAACAAAGTATATGCCAGCACTTCAGATTTCCTATGATGGAGCCAAAGGAAGCTTATGACATCGAGCGTATGACCTCTACGCAGAATATTCAGCATGAGCTGTGGCCACTCGATGAAATTGATCCGAAGAAGGCAAAGTTTCCCTGCTGTATAGTTTGGACTCCACTCCCGGTAGTCTCTTGGTTGGCACCATTCATCGGACATGTTGGCATTTGCAGGGAGGATGGAGATATTTTAGATTTTTCTGGTTCCAATTTTGTGAATGTTGATGATTTCGCATTTGGTCCCGTAGCCAGATATCTCCAAATTGATAGAAAACAGGTAATGTGTCGTGTCATTGTTCTTAAATTGTCCCTTTAAAAAGTTGAGTTTTATTTAAAACTTGTTTAGATCAAATTTTTATGCCCCTTTCCGAGCTAGATGAACAAGCAGTTAGACATAGGCGTCTTGATTTCTTATCATCTTTTTGGTTGTTACGTGCAGTGTTGTTTTGCCCCGAATCTGGGTAGCCACACTTGCAAGCATGGGTACAAGCATTCAGAGTTTGGGACTGCAATAACGTGGGATGATGCCTTGCAGTCAAGTTCGCGGTACTTTGAACACAAAACCTACAACCTCTTCACTTGCAACTGCCATTCATTTGTGGCCAACTCTCTCAATCGGCTCTGCTATGGCGGATCAATGAGTTGGAACATGATCAATGTGGCAGGCTTAGTACTGCTCAAGGGGCATTGGGTTGACGCCACATCCGTCTTGAGGTCGTTCCTCCCTTTTGTATTGGTGCTCGCTCTTGGTGTTGCCATGGTTGGATGGCCATTCGTTGTTGCGCTTTTCTCCTTCTCGCTCCTCCTTCTAGTGTGGTTTATACTGGGCAGTTATTGTTTCAAGACCTTGTTAGAGTGCTAGTTCCGTCACAATGTCGAAAAGTTCGAGGAGACTAAGCAGGATGTTATGTGGTAATGTTCCTCTGCATGGCTCCAGTTCCTGATGCAATTTTGTTATATGTTTTTTGTGAATAACGCTTCTGATGCCAAACTGAGTCAATTTATTCAATTGTAGATGAATGATTTAGAAAGCTTATCGACTTTTTGCAGTCTGTAACATGCTCGGGTTATGATTCCGAACGAGTCAGGGAAACCCATGTTGCATCCATAGCTCATACTGAGTGAACGTTCATAACTGGTCTATTTGCCAGATGATATAAACTCAGATTTAATCAAATTGTGTAACGGCTGCTTCGAATCAATAAAATTCTCTAATTTTCATACTTCCAATTAGAGCGAACAAAATTTCTATCAAGTTGATAACAGTGATCATTAGTTGTTGCCCCCGCTGTGGGGTGATCGAAACATTAGCAAGGTTTTAGTCACATACAGACTAATCTTATTACAAGTAGAGTCCGGTAAGGCAAGACCAAAGTTGAGAATTGCTTTGAAAAGCACTAGGACAACGTTTGAGATGAGCAACAGGAGCTTTGCCCCTCCGGTTACCTTCGTGCTTATGCGGAGGAAAATTATGCACCGTCGGGTATCTATAGCCTTCTCAGCACTTCAGCTCATGCTCCATACTTGGGGGCCTTCCAAAGCTTAAAGGCCACTTCGTGCAGAAACCTATCTGCCGGTATTACAAGATTTCCACCATTCTGCATAGAAAAGAACGAGTTTCAGAGTTCATTTGTAAAAATGCACTAAGCCATTCTAGTGAATGTATCCTAGTTTGGTAAATTCGGAATCTTTGAACTCGACGTGAGATTTATAACCAGATAATGCCATCTTGTACAACAGAGATCAACTAAGGAAGTTTTGTTAGCCGTAAATCTGTTAGGAAATCCAGTATGTGCCATCTTGTAAAACCAGTATCTGATAATCCCCAGCGTACCTCTTTGAAATCTTTAAAGGAAAATGTCTCTGCCATATCCTTGCGGGTTACGGCATATTGCCACTGAGCAATTAACATTGGGCAATGGTCCCTGTTCACACAAAGATAGCAGGAGTTATGAGTTATTTCAAATGGCGCAAGAAACCACTAAGTTTTCACTCACCTAACATCCTTCCGAGGATTCTCTCCTTTCATGGTGTAACTTTGACGAGGAATAAGCTTCGCAAGATCAGAGTTTTCATCATCTTTTCTGATTGAGACGGCACAAGTTGGTAACATCGTTTTCTGAGACCTTCCCATAGTTTAACACAACAGACAAGTGCAAGCGGGAACTGACCTCAGATCCCGGCTGGTCTATTTGCGATATAGCACCAACCAAAGCATTGAGATATTCCACCTCAGCAGCCCCAACATGAACAAAGACCAAATCATACTGGCTCGACTCCACTACCTTCCCTTCTTGAAATCCAAGCAGCTTAAGTAACTCAGATGCCCCGAAATTAACCGGTTGTTCAGCGCCTGCTGGACTGTTTTTAAGAAAACCATCAATTTGGAATACGCTGAAACCAAGTTTGGTACCAAAAGATTTCAAACTTGAATTGTTTGAAAATATAGCAGCTTTCATCCCCATGAACCTGAAGCATTACAAAAACACAACTTATGAACCAGTAGAAATTGGATTATCAAAAGTTAATCTTTTCGGAACATTGCTACTTATAACTGAGTGAGCACGAACCAAAAGTTGTTTTACCTTTCGGATATGGGAATCAAGGATTTCTTCTCTCTTTCTTCTTCAGTGATTCCTGAACTCTGAGAAACCAAGTACAAAAAAACTAATTAGGATCTGTTTGACAACCATTTCGTAAAACATTTATAATTACAGCTCCGTAAGAATGTCAAGTATGTCGATCATACCGTATAAAGGTAGGATTCATATGCATCCAGCAGTACTGCAAACTCTCTAACTATTCTCTCATCCTCGCTTTCTGCAGTCTAAACTCAAGTAAATCCCAGTGCTCTTTGACGAAAAAAAAAAAAAAAATCACAGTGCTGATAAAGCAGTAAAAAAGCATACCAAAATGTACATGGAAACGAAATCAGTAAAAAAAAAAAAAAAAAAAAAAAAAAAAAAAATTGAAATGCAATGTATTGGCAATTAATTTTTACCAGTTGGGTTAAAATGTATAGGGTTCTAAATGCCAAGAAAACTTAAGCACTTGAAAAATTAACAAACTTGATTAAACCCACAAAAGCAAAGCTGAAAATCCATGATTATCTACGTATTTAATTAGTGTTTTGATAAGAAATCAATTGGGATTATTTTTCTTAGTAACGATAATTACTGTATCTATTGTTCAAAGATTAGAATTTGCAGAGACACAGAGAGAGAGAGAGAGAGAGAGAGAGAGAACCTGAGGGAGGAGAAATGGGGAGGCTCAGGAATCCACAGGAAGCTTTGGAGGCGAGAGAGTGGAGATGGGTGTGTGACGGGTCGACGAACCGGGCCGACCCATCTCCGTACAGAACCAAAGCTCGGCAGGGTTTGTCCGCCATCCCTGTATCTGCGAGAGGAGGAAGATGAAAGATGCGATTTTTGGGAACGCGTACTACAAATAAATATGGATGGTAGGGGAATATTATGCACGTGGCGTGATTTGGAGGCGGTAGCAGTAAAAGCCAGATGCCTCTCAAGGCGAGATAATGGTAAATATGGTACTTTTTATCTACCACCAGGAAAGTGTGAAGTGAAAATTCAGACCGGTGCAAAACAATGGCTTGAAGAAACAAAGGGCAGGAGATTGAGGACTCTGTCAGGCCAGTGGAAACTGCAGTCTCCATGGATCACAAAGAAGAAGCATCCTCGAGGTAACTTTTAGTTGTCAATGACGACTGTTTGAGCAAATCCCAGAAGTTGCATTTACCTTGCTGATACTGTAATCAAGGAATATTTTCCTTGTTCAATGGCTTCCTGTGAGGATATGAAGAAATGTCCTGCGTCGAAAGTTAAGTAAACCCTTTCACTGGCTTATAAGGAGTCTGATTACTCCTCGTATTACCAATTAGTTTTACGGTTTCTTGACTTCCCATCTAAGAAGCAAGTACAAGACAACTAGTCAATCCAAAAACATCATCAGAGATTCAGAGTAAGTTTAAACTACACCATCAATTAATTGAAATTAGAAGACCAAGTCTACTGCTTTAGTTTAGAAGAGGGTTCATTGAATCGAATTCAAATGTACTGATGGATGACTGTAGTGGATATTTAATTATGGTGCTGAGGTGCTACTGATCTTTGACACTTTTCAGGTCAAGAGGAATCGATCAATGCAGCTTATGGCGAAACTCAGTCATTGACTTGCGTATCCACCAAAGAAGAGACATTAGAAAATTCATGGAGTTGATGAGAGAATTCGTTGTTTGAAAGGTCTAATGCTTGCAGCAATGGAAGAGAAAACTTAGAAAACGCAATGCCTCCATCGAGTAGGTTGGGACTCAAGTCAACAAACGCCAAATTGACAAGGTTTTCCCAATGAGTGGAACTAATGGAAGTAAGGAACCACTGAACTTGTTCTCTGACATTTGTAAATCGTACAAGTATGTGAGGTTTGCCATCAACTTTGGGAACTCCATCTCTGTCCAATCAGGCACAGATAGCGAGCAGAATCGAAATATAAGAAAGTCCAAATAAATCTCCCATTACTTGACGTTTTCAAGCAAATTCCCTTGTTTATATTTAGTTGTCTTGGTTCTGTTACATGAATCATTTCTAACCTGGGTTTTCATGAATATTGAACCCATCCACTAGATTTTAGTGCGCTCAATAATTCTCCCTTAAATACGAAAGACCCCCAAAAAAGCGAATAGTCCACTATAGACTGAACTCGTTGTGAACCTTTTCGATTTTTAGTAGCAGCTCGTTACGGGCACCTTGGAGATAGGGGTTGGGGAGAGGTTTTCTTGTGGTATTTAATGTGGGCATCGCTCTTTCCTTTGTCCTTTCCCCCGATTTTTGCTCTATCACTGGTGATTACTCCCGATCAAAAGCACCCCTTTTCCTTTCATAGAGATATCCGATCGTCAAAATTCAACTCCGGCGTGTCAGCTTAGTAATCCTCATAAATGCCACTTACTTGATCTCTAGCTTCCCAATTGGTAGTGGCACATTGGAATGTCTATTTCGGACAACATTTTGAGGTTGCCAATAGAGACGGGCAGTACCCCTGAAAAGTTTGTGATACTCAGGTTCAGAATTCGAAGAGAACCCTTTTTGGGAAATTCAGGTAAGGAACCTTGAAGCATTTGATTTACCACCAAGTCAACAGTCTGCAATGTAGAAATCCGGACGATCTCCCCGCGCGCCGGGGGGGGGGGCGGTGGGGCGGGGTGTGGAAATGTTCCACACAACCCACATACACTGAGAGTCAAGGAAGTCAAGTTTGAAAAATTGGCAAAGAAGGCTGGAACTGGGGAATAGAGGTGAGTATAATCGAATCGAATCACGGATATAGAAGTAAGCTTGGCAAGACACCGATCAATGGGGCATGAAAGAGAAGTGCTGTACAAGCCAACGCTCTCAGGTGCGGAAGTGAAGATGAAATCACTTTGCACCAGTCACCACCCTTTTCTGCTGATAGGTTTACATAATCAAAATATAACTCTTGAAGCTCGGTGAGACTTTGAACCAGCATGCTTAAATTGGGTTTCTTAAGTTCTAAGTAATTTTCAGAAAGATCAAGAACTGTCAACTTTATCAAGTGCGAAATCCCAATTGGTATTTGTCCCCCAAAACCATTACGGGATAGGTTTAGATACCTCAAATTTGCAAGCTTCCGATGGCAGATGGAATTTGAGAGCCGTAATATCTGTTATCAGCAAACTTGAGGCTTTGAAGATGTTGAAGATCGAAGAGACTGCTGGAGTCGTGAATCCCTTTGCGCATGATGTATCAATCTGAAATGAGCTAGGCATGTATGTTTAGTAAAAGCAATGTGTTTGTATATCAGTAGGTGAAGAAGTAGTTGGGGAGTTCATCCCTCTGCAGCCTGGTTGGCTGTAACTGCTGTACATATGGTCACGCGTTCTAAGCTACTTTTACTCTCCTAGTCCTAGACAGTAGACATAAAGGCTGGTCCTTCCTCCTGAGCGGTTGGTTGGTCCTGCATGCATGCAAGCCGGATTCAATGATTTAAACCAACCGGCAGCTCCTCGGGAGTCCCGAATGTCAGAGGCGGCGTTGAGGGGAGCAAATTGTGCAATCGCACAGGTTCCTAAATTTGAAGGGCTCCAAAAAAAATTTTGGTATCTTATATTTATATGTAATAATGTTATATATTAAAAAAATACTTTTATTAGCATTTTAAAATCTTATAGTGTACTTGTCACTTAGTACTACGGTTGGTATTTCTCTTCATTGGTAAGTGAGAGGTCTTATGTTTGATTCTCGTCAAAGACGAATTTGAACTACATTATTGCTAGCCCATTGTGAGACTTAGCCCGCGCCACCACTCTCTTAGTGTAGATAATTTCATTTGTTCAAAAAAAAAATATATATATATATATATATATCTTATAGTGCACTTTTATAAGTATAAATTTTGTTTCTTTCTAAATATAAAAATTTGGAATACATAATGAGATATTAAGTGTGCCAATAACAACACCTTAAAAAACGATTTTCTTTTCAATTTTATTATATAATAATGTTATATATTCAAGTGAAACTTTAAAGTTAAAGTTTTTGAAGTTTTATTATTTTTTTCTTTATTTGGTTGCTTAAGTTGAACTGTTTTTTATTATTTAGTGAAGGTCATGTTTGTAATTCTCTTTACTTATTTAATAGCACATGTAAACTTACAATAAGTGAGCCCTAAAGATTGTTTTGATTTAAGTTTTTTTTTTTTTTTTTGTCGAATTAAGTTATTATTTTCTAGTACCAATGTATTGTCCTACTTAAAAAAATAAAATAAAAATCTTAAAAATGGGTCATTTTATACATTTCACACAAAGCTCCCGAAATCTAAAACACAGCTCTTCCGAATGTCCCCTTGGGTCAACAGAGTGCCGTCGACTCCACTATGCTAATGCGGGCGGGCGGAGACCAGTTCCTACGTCGACATATGCTTTAGCATATGGTGGTGGAGTTGACAAAGTATCAGATTTGACGTTATTGCGAATCCATTGCCGTACAAACTCAACTAGTTAATATTTAATGTTTTGGTATCCTTTTTTCCCAGCTTATGGGGCAGCAATGATGCCATTATTCCTGGTTTAGTCGGCAAGTTAGCTGCAACTGCAAGTCCATCTCAACTCAAACATAAAAGAGTAGCTTTGTTGGCGTGTTAGATATCAAACTACGTCGTTTTCTTGATTTGTGAGTCGTGACAAATAGCCAAAGGCAATGAACAAGTTGGAGCTCAATCACGTACGCTTTTTCACGTTTCCAATTCCAATTAATGGGTAATGTGTGGGAAAATTATTAATAAATGTTATTTTCTCGTTTGCACATTTATGTTTAATTCTATTTATTTATTTTTATTTGATTAAAAGATGAAAAATAAACGTAAGAAAAAATGTGAGCAAAACATATTTACTTTTATAATTATGTTTTCCATTACATTAGGGTTACATATTATGCTAATCAAGTACAATGATGTTACTAAACTGTACCAACTTTTGTTTTCCTTCCGAACAAATTATTCAGTCTTAGGCCGTTATCATTTGCACTATATGGTTGGTTCCAAATCATCAAAAGCAGAGGGAACTTTCATGTGGCATGTTTCAATATTTCATAAAAGTGGATACTAGAAAATGAAAATCAAGTGAAGATTATTTTTGGTAAAACAAAAAGCGTTTGTAGCTCGAGTGGTTTTAGAATGTTCAATCTTGTATTCATTTTCCTTTTTTTTTTCTTTTGTTTTTTTGTATTTGATTTAATAAAAAAACTCGGATGGGATTCGAGCAATTTTGTTTTGGTTCCTACACAACTAGATTGAATCAAATCGAAGTTAGTTTGGCTTGACTTGTTTAAAAAGTACAAAAACAAAACCGAATTGTAATTCCTTTCAATTTAATTGTCTGAATTCTGATTACATATTAACGAATGAACTATTATATCAATCGTTCAAACACCAAAATTTAGAAGTTTTTAATATTATTCAAATATCAACATCAGTTTAATTAAAATTAGAAGATCTAAGACCGAATAAAACCGGACTGCGCCCTCCTGTAGCCTCACCTAACCCTTTGACCTACCCTAAACAAACCTTAAACGCTAACTTCCAAATCCGAAATAAAATTTTGGTGACCCGCCGGCATTATAAAAACTCCCACAAGTGTGGCGATTTCCAGTTTCCACCGGCGACGGAATCCCCCACACATTTTGTTTAATTAATTCCAAGATTTATGAGTGTATGACTCCATGTTGACCACGCCACCCTAACTCTGGTTGGTCTCCTCTCGCTCTCTCTCTCTCTACACTCTCTCTTCCAATCGCGATTTCCCATTGGTGAAGCTTTTCGACCGTCGCGGTTTCCGTCGTTTAACTGCCGCCCGCCGCGCAGCTGCATTTCTGCAATGTTGAGAAGAAGCGCGTCCTCCTCCTCGCTCGGC